TGGCACAGCGGTATGTCTGCGGACTTACAACGCTAGAAACCGGGTTTCGATACCCGTGGTGGGCAGAGCACAGATAGCCCATTGTGTTGCTTTGTGCATAAATTCAAACAAACAAACAAACAAGTAAAACGTGACATCTTGTAACTGTTGAGAATCTACAAACACAAAGGTCAATGGCAAAAGCTGTCCACAAGCCCCTGACAATAGTATGTTATATGCTTAAAACTTGATCAATTTCAAAAATGCAAAATGTTAAAAAACACAAAAAATAGACCAAAAAGCCCGAAAACCAAAATAACAAAATATCCCAAAATCATAAACTCAGAATGAAAATAGTTAAAATCCCTTTTGTTACACTCCTCCAGTTTCTGCTCTACTTAAGGGCATGTTTGGTGAAACACTAGCTAGCCTAATTTGGCAACACCCGAAGAGATTCACGTGGATCAGGGAGTAAATTTCAATAGCCAGTTATGTTTTGAGCTTTCCAGCAGGTTGACTTATTTCTAATGGTCTTCTCTGAAGCTAACCACACGGCTGTTCTCCCACCAAGGTACCTCCAAATATTAACTTGGTTTTGGATTATCTGCATTCTACTTTATTACATTTTAGGTATGTTGTCTTCACAACCTTGTACGTCTGTACTATTTGACACTGGTAGTATAATTGTCCTGTAATGTACAAGGATTTCCTGATCAAAGACTATGAAACTGTTTAAGTTAGTTAACGTCACATCAGTATTCTCTCTACGTTAATTATTCAGTCACCCATCATAATGGTGACTTCTAGCTTTAATCTTATTGGAACTATGTGACCATTTGTCATTAATATAACTATCTTCTTGCATCATCTTTGTAGGCATATTTTCACCTATTATTACCAGAGCATTTAGCTGTAGAACTGGTATCATTAAACACAGAGTAAGGTTTCCTTATCATTAATGGAATGGTTTATTAAAATAAAGCACTCCGCATTTCATTTGGGACATTTGAGCATTAGGATATTGTCTATTAAGTTTATTGCTGGTGACTGATTCACTTCAGTCTCTGTTGTAATATCCCTGTTTTTCACACTTAAAAGCAGTTCTTATTTTCTGTGATCGTTTTATTTATTTTTTTCTGGCTTTGGTCTGTAATTTCTGGCAACATGTCCTTTTAAGTTACAGTTGAAACACCTCCTTTACTTCCTCCATTCTGAGTAATCAGTTGTTTGATTATTCTTCCATACTTCCATCAGAGGTTGGTATTTTCCCACTATTTGATCTGAGGATACCATATTTTCTGTAGTGTTTTTAGTTCTTTATCTGCTACAAGTTCCACTGCAAATTGAACAGCTTCTTTCAAAGCAGTACAACTACTCTGCTTTAGACTGATTCACATATCCTAATGCATCTATGAATCATTTCATGTGGTACATCTGGATAAGTATTTTTGCAAATTTATCTAAGGTCTCATCTTTCTTCCTTTCTCTGTTCCTACAATGGCTTTTGAAATTTCCTTCTAATGTAACGCTGAATCTGTTTTATAAGGAAGCCAATTAATACATGGTAATCATTATGACTCTCTATTGGAAGATTGCTTAATCTTGTTAAAGCTGATCCTATTAAATGTGCAGCAAGTTAAATAAGAATTTGATGTTCACTATTCTATCCATTCACTTTATAAATTATATCAAACTGTGCCTGATTTGCCTTCCATAGTCTGTTGGTTTCTCAACTGGCCTACTAAATTCCATAAGTTAATAAAGTAGTGGTGTAGCTGGACTGGTACCAAAAACTCCTGTAAGAAGGGGTGTTACAGCAGTATTAGTAACAGGAACAGACTGAAAATTTTGAGTGGTTATGGAGATGTAGCTGGTTTGATATTTACAATTGCCAGTTCAGCTTCTGACTGTTTTATCCTGACTTCAATGTTCTTTTGTACATTATTGTCTTATTATCATCCCTGTGATAATTTTTTGTACTTCTCTGTTTATTTTATTGTTCTTTGCTAATTTCTATAGCTTCCTCTATGAAATTGATTTTTAATCAAAATTTTTCTAAGTTTTACTTCTCGTTCTTCTAATTGCTCTCTTAACTTACTGTTTTCTCCTCCTTTTCTGTTTCTTGATTTTCTTTCTAATTTTACATCATTTCCAACAAATTTTGCAATATTGCTTCAAGCACATGTTGTACATTATAAATTCAGTCTTGATTTTATTTTTACCAAAATAATCCCACTCCTGACACCGATGTTGTAGTAGATTCTATTGTTGAGAATAGTTGTATTAATTATTTGGTAAAAAAAAATTAAAAACGTTTCTTTCTTCAACTACAAGTTCAAACTAGCTCATTCAAGAAAATTCTAGGTATTGAGCTATATATTTATCTTATTATGTTTGTCATGATATAAAAGACTGTTTAGTGTAGGTATAATTAATTTATTTTGTGAGTGAATATTCCATGATTGTTTAGTTTTTCATAACAAGAGAATTAAGAGCAATTATTTTAAAGTAGACATTAGAAAAAGTTTAGTTAAGTAACTCGGTAAGAATCATGCGTGTGTTTATAATTCATTGATGTTGAGGCTATCACATATCACGTGAATAGAGATTTCTAGAAGGCGAGCAGATGATAAATATATATATAGTGTGAGATGAGTGAGACAGACAGACAAGAAGGTAAAGTCATAGGAAGTAGAGTTTTGGTTAGAAACGTAAAGTTAACCGTTGTAGGTGTGAAGTGAGATTAGTTTTTATGAATTTCGCGCAAAGCTACACGAGGGCTATATGCACTAGCCGTTCCTAATTTAGCAGTGTAAGACTAGAGGGAAGGCAGCTAGTCATCACCACCCACCGCCAACTCTTGGGCTACTCTTTTACCAACGAATAGTGAGATTGACCGTCACATTATAATGCCCCACACGGCTGAAAGGGCGAGCATGTTTGGTGTGACAGGGATTCGAACCTGCGACTTGCAGATTGCCTAACCACCTGGCCATGGAAGTGAGATTAACAGTTTTCTGACTTTTTGAAAATAATTGTCTCATCAAAGGGTGTTCTAAAGCAATTAAACCTAGCCTCGGTGGACTTTGCAAAATAGACAGATGATTCTCAGAAATACAAAAAGGGAAAAAATGAGCAGGCGATTTTGGAAGTATAGGATACAACCATAGTAACTTGACGATAAAGTAAGTGAACTATACTCAGATAGTTTGGCGATAGTACTAGAGAAAAAATAGTTCGGCTTGTCAATTCAAATTCTAAAGCAATTGAATTGTCCTAAGTGGACTTTTGGCAAGAAGAAGAGAACTATATAGTGTTTATGATTTACCTTAGTGTAAAGAATTTGTTTTACATACGTTTAACTAGTTCCGAATATATATATTATTTTGAAAACAAGTGGAGTGAGTGCTGTTTGTTGATTTTTTGAATTTATCGCCAATCATAAACATCTACTGTATAAGAATCCTTAGCACAACACACCCATATATTTACTTACTATATATACAAGCTATAAAAAGTTTCCTGAGAATGTTCAAAACTATCTCTAGTCAACAAATTACACTCAAAGTTCAAAAGAATAAAGTAAAAGTATACTAAAATAGCATATAGAGGGACTTACAATCACAAGAGACAGTTAATACAAAATTTTTTATAACCGTGAAGACTTCAAGTGAGTAGGATAAAACCTGTTAACATTAAATTACAGATCCTAGGTAAAATGTTTTATAACTGTGAAGACTGAGGATAAAACCTGTTAACATTAAATTATAGATCCTAGGCAAAATGTTTTATAACTGTGAAGACTGAGGATAAAACCTGTTAACATTAAATTATAGATCCTAGGCAAAATGTTTTATAACTGTGAAGACTGAGGATAAACCCTGTTAACATTAAATTATAGATCCTAGGCAAAATGTTTTATAACTGTGAAGACTGAGGATAAAACCTGTTAACATTAAATTATAGATCCTAGGCACCATGCAAAGCTTACAAAAATATACTGAAAAAATGCAGAATTATGCTCTTCACAATTATTAAATATCACATGACAAGAAATGGTCATATTATTAACTCTGAAAACAAACTGAGGATTTCTACTATGTACTGACATCTACAGGGATCATTATTATAAAGTGATATCTACAATGATTTTAGTACAAGCTCTTGACATATACAAAGAAAGAAATACGACCTCCCTGCTCAAAAAATTTCCTTCTTTACTCATATCTTAAGAAATCACCTCAACCTGTTGAATCAAAGAAATGAAAACAAACATGCCACACATGATATTACATACACTTTCTTTAGTTGCTAATGGACACACATTTAAAATTCCTACTCCCATTAGATTTAAATTTTACATTTACTACAAACCGATTATCTCTACTAAAGAAAATACTCCCTCCATTTTTCATAAAGAACAACAAATTTCATTTGTTATAAAATGATCTCATAAAAAATACAGATTTCTGTAGAACAGATTTCTTATGTTTGCTACACTGATAGTTGTTATCCAAAGGAACATTTTCTTACCATTTTTTAATATCAGGAATGAAAGTTATCAAAATAAGATAATGTTGCTAAAATATATTTATAGTGATTCAAACATAATTAGTAGGTTGATTCAACTCAGACAACCACATGATACATTTAGCAGATGAATATAAAGAATTGCTTTTCAGGTAGGTTTCATCCTTTAAAAACTATTATTGTGTACATCAAATTTTACATATCACTTTTTATTTCTATTCTGATTGGAGTATTTATCATGTTCTGTTAAGTTAATCACATGGACTGTGCCATATTCAGAAAAACAAGGTTCTATGTAAGAAAGTTTAAGATATGTGAATTATATTTCATTTATGATATATTAATTAACAAATACAAATATGTATTTTGTTTTCAACAAATTATAATATAGTTTATTTGCAAGTACTTAAATTGAGATTTATCCTTTCCTTAACAAAATGGTTTCAGTTAGCTAATCTGCTTTCTACACTCCAGACTTAACCCCTAAAACTTCACACACGACTAAGACATATCTTTCTAATTATAAAATGTATAAAAAATTCTCTACTTAAGTGAATAATTCAGTAGAAATACGAAAATGTCCTTCAGGATAGAATTGGAAAGACTTTAACCATTTGGCATCATGGGTTCAAGTACTTCATGTGGATGAACTCAAACTAGATAAACTTTTTGTTTGTTTCATGAAAGACACATTTGATACAAAGCATGAGCTTTTCTGTTTTTTGTAAAACACATATTTATTGCAATTAATGATGGAAGACTCAACAACATCTGTACACGTAAGGAAGTAGTAATAAACATGTCATTTGTGACATCATTAATTAAACATGAGGTTATAATGTAAGAAAATCATTAAAGGTATGAACAGTGTAAGTCTTAACTAAACATTATATCAATTCTGAGCTTGCAATACAAAGTAAATTCCAGTAGATATGAATGAATTATCCCAGTCTAAGTGCAAGCTAACAATGAAGCAATGTTATTGTTTTGCATTTTTCATAAACTTATCAGAGCAATAACATAGTCTTCAGAATAAAAGTATACAGAGATGTATATCTAAGAGGTTATTCATATATGAAATAAAAAAGAAATTATATTTTAAGAAAATATCTTTCAATGGTATATTTATTAAATAAGAGATTTAAAAATTCATCTTGTAAATCCCAGTCCATCCAAAAAAAAAACCTAAAAAAAGTACCTTAACTTTATATATCTCTGTATATGAAAATCTAAAAAATTCTGCTTTTCATATAGAAAAATTGAAACTGAAATGTTCATGGAAAAGTTAAAATCTTAGATCCAATGTAAGTCTGTTTTTGTCTTATTAAAAAGTATGAACTGAATGATGAATTGTTAAGTCTAAAATATTGATTGTTTTACATAATAATAAGTATCAGCACAAGCTTGAAAAACACATTATTTACTATAATATCTAGTATCAATTTGTGCACATGACTTATTTCAAACTAGTACACACCATGCCAATAGCTGCTTGAAGGTTATCTTTATTCCAAAAGAAGTATAATAGAATGCTATTGAAATTTTTGTGTCAGGTCTGATTTAAAAGAATGGATGAATAAAATTATTTTGTATCAGCAAGTACAGGCATGGAACCAATGTTGGCATAAACAAGTTCGTCATCACTTTCCGAATCAGAAAAATAATAATCATTCTCTTCAAATTCCTCCGTTTTTTCAGCTGATCTTGTGACTTTGAATAAAACCTGAGGTAATTTTTCTGGAAATTTCCCTCTTCGACTCTCATCATGTTTACAGTCATTAACTGGAGTTTTTGAGCTTGTACTCTATGAACAGAAAAAATAAACACAGCAGCATTAAAGAATGCAAAAATTCTGTATTTAATTAACAAAAAAATGTCTGCATATAGACTCTTTGAAATATTTAAATACTGATCAAGGTAGAGCTCAAGAAGACCTTCAAACATTAATAGTTGAAATTTCGTTTTAAACACTTTTTTTTTACATATTACATGATTTATCACTTAGTTAAAAAATTATTCATCTTTAGTTGAGATAAATTTAAAAAAGCTTCCAATTCTTGTGTACATACTTCTAAATGCAAATCTTTTCCCCTCTAATCTTAATACATTAAATTATTGTTTTTTTTTTCATAAAGAACAGTTTGCAACACTAGTTCATATTATGGTACCTTTTGATTTCTAGAATTTTCTTTTCTCCATTTCTCTCGATTGAAAAGATAGGTGTTAATGCCATTCCTATAAACACAAGTAGAAAAATTAATAAAACTGCTTTACCTGTGTTGACATCTAACTATGTACATGTACAAGAGATATGATTTTATATCTTATTTTACTTCTGAACGTAATACATCTTTGTGTAACAATTTTTAGACTCAATCTTCTTTTCAAAGTTACGTTATCACGAGTATTACCATGTATGACTCACCTACAGGGGTAGATTAAGGAGGGATTGGGGCTGTAGTCCCAAGTCCATACTCAAAAAGGTCCCATTATAAAACAACCAACTGTATTCATTTTTGTAATAAAAATCATTTGACAGAGAGAGAGGGGGGGGGAAAAAGAGTTTGTATGTGTGGGATGGGGTAGGCCTATCATGTGATGTAGACTGTAAAGATTTGATTGGCTTGCCTCCAAATAGTGTGACTAGGTGAAGCTCTGCTCTCACCTAGCACATTTACATAGAATTTATAATGCAAATATGCTAGGTATAAACAGGATTACACCTAGTCGCACAAATCAAATGATAGGCCTCGACCAATCAAAATATCTTCACTCCACATTCTCCTGATGCTGTCATTCAGGCTCCTCCTCTCATGGCTTGCAACTATCATCTTGTTTCTTATCATCTAATCAATTAGTAGGCCTCGAATATGATAAGACCAAAGCTGCTAGGCTAGATTGAAGGTATCTATATCTATCAATTCTGGATTATGAAAGGCTTTGGATTTTATTCAAGAAAAAAAAAGAAAAGAGTTCAATCATAGCTAATAAGGAAAGAAACAGCATTTTAAGTTTTTAGGATATATTGTATAAATTGTTTTTGGTCCTTGAACAGAATTTGCAAATTGTTATCACAAAAAATCCATAATTATTTGTAGGCCTACACTGGCCCACTTATCAGCTGTAAATAAGTTGTTGACAACTTGACATGCATCATTAATAGAAGGGTATTGAATATAAGTCATCCAAGTTCAAAATTTGAAATTTCTGAGTTAAGTACAGAAAATGATATGTGATTATTTGTTACAAAGCTATCAGGTAGCTTGTCCTGACATCTCTCTTTCTCTCTCTTGCTCTTACAAGCATTCACACACACACACACATTATTCATTACATGTTCATTTTATCTGTTATAGATGTACAAACACAAGAGCAGTTGGGAAAAGCTAAAGTCAAAGAAAAAGTTAGAAAAAATTAAGGAAAGTTATATCTAAAACTAGGAAGCTAACAAGCTTATGATCTTTGTCCTGTAGTGCCAAAACCCTCACCAGCAAAGACAGTAGAAACAACAATGTAGACACTAACTCTCTGGATGCTGATGATCATCAACCTCATCATATCAAACTGAGCTTCTACCCTCAATCAGAAAGTGCCAAAAACATAACCACCAACCAAGACTGTGAAAACAATCACGTACAGACTACACTTCTCAATGCTGATGACCATCAACCTCATCAAATTGAATCGAGCCCCTATCAACAGGAAGAATAATCAATTATTGTAATAGTGACGAAGATACTAACCCACTAGGACAAAAACACAAATTTCTGATGAAATGAGAAATTGTGTTTGTATGTTGGAGATTACCTCTTACCAGTACAAGAAAGCAGATTTCAGTGCATTTACAAAATCGATTCTGGGTGACAAGTATAAATGCCAATGCTCAAAAACTTTTTTTGTCATGAGCAACTGAATGGAGAAAAGTTTAAAGCTTTGCTACTCACAGTTGACAGGGAACATCGTCCCTTTTCCATGTAAATTGTTTTTAACAGCAAAAGAAACTTCTTTGCTAGCAGCAACTGGTTACCCTAACCGGAAACATGCTGCAAAGGACTTTAGTCAGCATGAAACAAGCTCGCTGCATCATCAAAGTTGTTATTTGTAAAATCAAAAGTGGACAAATTAACAAGACTTTAACAGAGTAGACTGAGTCAGAGACAAAATACTAGCACCAAGTTCAAGAGTGTATTCTCTCAGTCATAAAGTTTCTATCATCCATAGGACTAGCATTCATAGGCAGAGATGAAGTAGTTGGTTCAGTGTATAATGAAACTTACGTATGAATACTGGTGTTATTGGCTAAATATGATATATTCCTTGCTGACCACATTAAAAAATGTACAAATAAGAGAAAAGATCAACTGTTTGTGATGAATTCATAGAAATTCTACGCAAAGAAGATCTCACCACCATTATTCAGGAAATCAAAACATCTAAGTATTACTCAGTGTCTGTTGATTCTACTCCACACAGATTAACTGACAATAATCTTTAGCTACGTTCTAGATGATGGCCCTGTATAGTTATTTACCACATTCTTACCAATAAACAATCAATTGTTAGAGTTCTCATTGATTTTCTTGAAAAGATTACCATAAGAATTCAACATTGCTGTGGGCAGTCTTACGACAATGTATCCAATATGAGCAGCAAATATATTGGCATGTATACCTTGATAAAAAAAGAACCTCCTAGCAGACTATGTTCCCTGATGTGCTCATTTGCTCAATTTGGTTAAAAAGTGTGCTGTGGACTGTTTTATCGATGCTTGTTTATTCTCTGCCTTTGTGAAGAAACTTTATTTGTTTTATCAGCTTCAACACACCTGTGAAAGCACCTACACGGTATGCTTGAAAAATTAGGGTACTCAACAATAAAGCAGTTATCAGAAATGAGATACAGCACCCATTCAGATGCAATGTTACCCTTTAAAATAGGGTACAAAGCCATTATACAACTCCTAGCATCCATTACAGTTGATGACTCTGAAAAACCTCAAGTGCACTTAGAGTCAAGGAGAGAATTCACAAGACAAGTCAATCATTACATAACTCCCAAATGGATGTCAGCACAGTTTCTCATATGCTAAAGTTCGAAAGACATTTGTGCAGGAATTACAAGATCCCTTTCCTGAATATGAGGAAAAAGGTAAACAACTGTCAGGATGCAAGACATATTAGGTTCAAAAGGTCAAGGAAAAGAAATGTGAAATGGGATGAACAGGATGCTGAGGACAGTGATTTTTTTCACCCTCTACTCAATATACAGTTCAGACTTTCTTAACAATAACTGACAAGCTTTTACTTGCACTAGACAACAGAATAGTGGCATATGAAAATGTTAGTTACAAATTTAGGTTTCTATGAAACTCATGAGTCCATACCTACAGAGGACCTATATAATGCCACCAAAAAGCTGATTGGTACACATCCTACAGATTTGCACTGAGGAATAAACTGTTCAATTTGCCACCCACTGTAAGACAGGGTTTGTTGAAAAAGATGTTAGAATCCAAGTAACAAAGTATGCTTAAAATGATATGTGACCAATCTCTGAATTCACGAGGATTACCAAGTATAAAAAAAAACACAATCTTCTTTTCATAGTTACATCACCAGGAGAATTGCTAAATATAACAACCACGCAATCTTCTTAACAAAGTTACAGGATCAGGAGTATTACAAACACACACTTCTTTTCATAGTTACATGGTCAGAAAAGATTATCAAGTATAACAACCACACAATCTTCTTTTCAAAGTTATTTGATCAGGAGTATTACCAAATGATAATAAACTACTATATCAACTCTATTGTACTCATATAAATTCATGCTGCTTCAAGAGCAAAAATGGAAATTTGAATTTAAAAATTACAGGCAATAAATGTCTTTTTTTTCCACACATAAGAAAAACAACTTCATAGTGGAAATGTATTTAGTACCAAAGTTTTATTTATTTAATTTTTATCCATATAATTCAAACCAAAAATTTAGGTTTTTGGTTGATTTTAATATGCTCAGAACAAAAACACCAGAATGAATTTCCTAAATTTCTTTTAGCATAATATGGCACTTATAGTCCTTAGGAGAGGAATCAAGATAGACTGTAGTAAAACCAACCTTGTAATAACTTCAATACAAATGTAGTTTTATCAGTTTTAACCAATCTTTGTTTCTCAAACTTGGTTGTCATGGTATAAGATTATTGCCCATATCTCAGTTTAGAGAAGTCATAGGCTTAGTTATCTAAACATGTGATGAAAGCACTTTTCTTCTTAACTATAATGTCAATATAGCTTCTAGCCAGTGCAGAATCAGGTAGAGATTGTAAGAAGTAACAAAAGCTTAGCTTAGTAATACGTTGCTACTAGGAAAGATGTTTGTGAACAATTTCTTCCAACATTACAGCCCTGATCTTTTATTTAAAGATAACTTTATCACTTTATAGTTCATTTGAATTACGATGTTGCACTATGATAGGAGATGTTCTTCATGAAACAAAATGATGTACGCATAATTGGGTCATGAAGACAAGATGACGTAAGCTCAGTTGGACCATTTTTGCATACAATCATATCAAATTTCGTCTCACAAATAAGACTGCTGTTGTTAGATGGTGTTTATATTACAGCTCATCTTCTTGAATGTGTATAAAAAAATAATTAGGCCTGAGAAATAGTAAAATTTTTACTATTACAATAATTACCTGAAATTTTAAAGTACTTTGATTACTTCATAATATCATTTTTTACAAACATTTTCCCAATAAATTGACAATAATAGTATACATGTGTGTATTGTGTGTACACTAGTAACACTATAATCATGTGGCTTCATGGTTACACACAAAATATCATGTATGTATGTATGCAAGTCTTTACAAAGTTTAACTTCACAAAAAGCATGGCTTTGTTTACTGCAAGTTAGATGCTAGAAAGACTAACATATTCACATTCTCTGGCAACAGGCATGACCTCTTTGTGTTCACAATATGACCTGCAGTGCTAAATGCTTGTTCTGTGGGAACAGCAAGGTATTTCATGGCTAGTTGTGCCAGACAAGGATATCTATTGCTGGATCTTGCTAGCTATTCTAAAATAGTCAATCACATATTCATGACCAGTATACCTTACTATCTTTCTTCTTGTTTTGTCATTATCATTTCCTGCAACCTCACCAGTACATTAAGCAGTTGATTGAGCAATATGTGAAGTAGCTTCCATTCACCAAAAAATGTTCTTTTAGATAAAGAAGTTTCATCAAACCATACACAACAAGCTACAGCTTCTTCTGAAAGTTGGTCTAAAACTTGGTGCTTATCTGTAACAAAAGTGACTTAAAATGCTGGTCAAGAAAAGTAGCTTTGTTTAGTAGATCAAGAATAGGTTCAGTGTAGAGATCATGTAAATTCTTTTTCATCTTTAGTTTCATCACAGTCAGAGTCAGATTTTAAAAAAATTAAGTTGCTTGTGTAACAGTACTCATATCATAGATATACTAACAGATTTCTGAGTCACTAAAGCCTCAGTGATCTTAACATGTGGCTTCATTACTTGTACAAACAGTTCCATATTGAATAATTCTATATCAGTAGGCATTAAATAACTTTTTTTGATTTCCAATAGCATAGCACACAATGGTTGTTGCTGCTGGATTATTCTTTCAACCATACAGTAACTGCTATTCCACCATATTACAACATCATTAACAAGTGAAAGCTGTTTGTGTTAAGAGCAATTTGCTTTTGATGCAACAGGTAATATGATTCTGGAGAGCGATTAAAGTGAGATACAAGTTTTTTGGAACTACCGATCAATTTTGATATCTCTGGTAACTATAAAGCCAGATCAACAGCAAGCTGCAGCATGTGATTGAAACATGACAAGTGATGAATTCCAAGCATCTCAATTGCAGCAGTGATGTTTGTCCCATTATCTGTAGTAGCAACAATTATCCCATAAAATGATAACTTTCACTCAGCTAGCATATCATTTAGCTCTGCTATGACATTCACACTTGTGTGAGTTTCAAGAAACTCATGGACTGCTATAAGATAACTTTATAGCTAGAACTGTTGTGCAATGAAATGAGATGTAACAGCACAATATGATTGTTTTGCTCGTGACATCCACATGTCTGGGGTAATAGCATAACATTCTACTCCATCAAACTGCTGTTGGACTCTAGACTTTTACCTGTTGGAATAATTCCTGCATATAATAACAAGCTATGGTCTTACAAACTGGAAGTGACAGCATGGCTTAAAACCTTAATCACATAAAAGAAGCCATGATCATTTATGGTATTGAATGGTTGCATATCCTTTGCAACAAATTAACATACTAAATCTGTCAGCTTCTTCCAGTGCAGGTTGCAAGTGGCAATTAATTCTAACAACTGAATAAAAAGCCCCAACTTTTCCTTCTTTATTACGTTTTTTAGAAACACGCTCCTTTCAACTAAAAAAAAATGAACTTCTGTTAAATCAAACGAGTACTCCAGACCATGTCTACAAATCTAAGTTCAAATATCACTTTAATTTTAAGCAAAGCTTTTTGGACTGAATTGTTAGACATATTGTGGGAAACAATATCCGCATGCAACTCAGCAAAGCCTGTCTGGCATGTGTACATATGGAAGCATGTTAGTTTCAACTGACAACAATTATGTTTCTCTGATTAGCCTTCAACTTTGTTAATTATTACCTTTATTACAATTCATTCATAGAGTTCAAACACAGACTTAGCAGTTGATACAATGATGGCAAAGAGACAGTAAAAAACTCTTAATATCGAAACAGAGTTGTTGGAAGAAGTAGATAAAAGCCAGGATAGCAAAACAACTATTGTCACCAAATATGAAATACAAAAATCCACATTTTATTAACTTTGCAAACTTTTTGCTATGTTAATATAGGTCTGATAGATATAAAGTACACCTGTCACATCAAGTGTTTTAATACATATTGATGTAGTACATATGTTGTTTAACATACACGACTTGTGAGATTGAATGTTATTTTTGTAGACAAGGGACATTAGCAGAAGAAATAAATAATTTATTAATGTGTATGCAGTTACCTTCCTTGAATTTTTCTGAAGCATTTGGTTAATTTGAATTCAAAGATACACTAAATAATTTTAAAAAACTATGTACATTCAAGAACTTGATAAATGATTTCAAAACACATGGATATTCAAGTATTTTCAAGAATCATACGAACCCTGTAGGTAGTGGAAAAAAACTAGCAAAATCCCTACCGCCATGAATGACGAACACAGGAGGAGGTATGTCAGGTACAAAAGAAGATACATGCTGCATGAGCTACTCCACCACCTGCCACACAAAAACTGTCATATCTCCCAAAAGACAACGACAAACTTGACACTAATGACGTGGAAATAAAAGGCCAAAAAATCTGCAGACGTGGAAGACGTTACAAAGCGAAGATACAATATTAAATACTTCCACAATGTCTGTGTAGATACTTCCACTTAACAAATGCCTAACTCTGAAACATTCACAGGTGAAAAAAGACATGTCAGTACACACAAGTGCTAAATCGAGAAGTGATGAGTATGATTCACAGTATAAATGGAGTCAGCTGCACTAGGAGGGTGTGTCACACTTCTTTTAGTGGAGGGTTGTCACATGCTCATTTGCATGCTAAAATGCAGCTAAACCACATGTAATCACATGAAGTTAGATGGACTTTCAAGGCTAGTAGCGAGCAAAAATTTTACGTATAGAGGGCAGCACAAATCAAGGAAAGCTATTACGTAAACAGAGGTAAAATATCATATCGGAAAAAAATAATTTAATACTTCAAATCTGAAAGGCACTGTAAGTAACATCAAGTGTTTGAACAAGAAAACATAAAAATTAAAAAAATATATTTAATTTTTATCAGTAGAAAGTAAACCAAACTACAGAACCCAAGGAAAAAAATTGGTAGTAACTTTTGTATTTTATTTATTGGATATTGAGCTAATATGTACATAGTTTAACTAACTAATGTTCAAATTGAGCATCAACAAATTATTTATGAAAAATCAATGGTATTTCATGTTATTGTGAGCACGTTTTCTTTTAATTTATAGAGAATTACAATTTATACTAGTCACAACTCACCTAAGCATTTATGGTAATTTTCATGCCCTTTGTTTGAATTTTCCGTATTCTATCATTTTCCCACACAACATTTAAGTTATACTTTCTTGCACGCACTATGTGTTAGGTCGATAAATCCTGTTTTATTTGAAAGAATTTCACACAGATAAACAAACTCATTCAGGTGTAAGTTTATTTAATAAAACTACACGTAAAGTAAACAATAAAGTAATTGTATTTATAATAGGGTACTGAGTGTGAAACAGTTATGAGCATTCAGTGGATGACACAGTTTTACGAACTGAAACAAAGAATAAAACCCGTAGTAATAAAAAAAAGTAGCAAAAAGGTGTTTATAACAGTCTATGAAACAAACCAAAGCTAAATTATTGCAAAATAAAATAAACATAAAGTTTTAATGAAGTCAAACTTAGCTAAATATGCAGAAATGTCTGAATGTGTGTTCACAAAGTGATAAGCATTTGGTTTTAAAAGAACTGTACATGCATGTTTTAGACCTAAATAAGTCGTAAAGCTCATAGAAATTGTATTTTAATGTAAGGTTAATATTTTTAGGAAATTATGAGGGTTAACTGTTCTTTGTGTGAAATACTTTGCAAATAAACTAAATTTTACAATCGAAGCATTTTGTCATGTGATGAAACTGACATTGTGCCATCATGCAGCATACTCATTGCACTAAAAGTTTGACTAAGCAAAAAACAGATAAGGTGATTCTAAATGGAAAAGCCAATAGTCAATCCAGACTCTTCAGACAAAGGCCTTTCTAATGATATGATATTTACATCATATGATTGAAAACTTTGTGTGAAAAGTTTTGGAGAGACAAATGCAAGTGTATTATTTATATAAATTACCTAGTTCATTTTACAAAGGAGATATCTGAAAAGCAATGAAACTATAATATCTAAAATTAGATTTTGGAAAAACTTACTTCATTTGATTAAACACAGGTAGATTGTCTTGATCTAGATAAGTTGGAGTTTTTTTTGGAGATAAAGGTGAAGGTTTTAACACTTCAAACTTTGGAGTTGTGACAGGAATATCTTCAAGATTGTCAAAGGTGTCAAATATAGTATCAGAAAACTGAAATAAATTCACAATAATATTTTTTATAAGTTAAGAGCAAATTGAAAACAGAAAATGCAATGAACCATGGCATATACTTTTAAGTAGAATTAAAAACCTAAAACCAAATACAGAAAGTATACAAGTACGATTGTATTGCTATAACATCATTTTGAAAACTTCAAAGTATGCTGAAACTACTTTGTGGCACATAACGAGGCGGAGCATGTTGCCTCATTGTGCTCCTCCACATCCCGATACCCCACAAGCAAACATTAGTCCAGTTTCCTGCCATCTTTGGTAATGTGATGACTTAACTTGTTACATTGTGCTTATTACAACTCTAAACTGTTCAAATCCTTCAAGCATGTCTGGAAAATGTCCAGCAATTATGCCTGCTAGCACACAGGCAAAGAAGGCATGGAAAGCAATCAGATTTATATATTTTATGTACAACATTTGTTTATTTAGTTATTAATGTGATAATACGTGTGTGGATACTTGTTTAATATTTTGTCTGTAAAAAATGGGCATATACTAATATATGATGTGGAAAACATTATAATTAAAAATAACTTTAGTTGCAATTTTTGATTGGAATGACTTTTTGTCTAATAAATGAGAAATTAAGGCACTAATAAACACTTGAAAACATTAGAACTTTTACTGATAACTCTACATATCCAGGCTTGTAGTAATCACTATTTCACTAAATATTTAAAATCTATTTGTTTACAATTACTTTTCAAATTGTTAAGCCTAAAAATAACAAGTTCTTTCTAACACATACATAAAAATCTGACTTGACCAACAATAAAAATTCAAATGACTTTAAATTCCTACAATCACATAAGAATAATTTGCATTAAAAATTACCACATCTACAAATTTGGGGTGCTAGTCTTACCCAGGCTATTAAAGCTACAACATGAGATCATATTAACCCTTTGACAACCAACTACTTAGAATCCAACATTGCTCTTGTCACATTTCATTCCAGAAATAAAACTAGTGGATGAAATTGTTTGAAATTTGGCAAGAACTTTCCTAAAAGTATGTAGTTATTTAATGTAATTATATGCACTCGGACTGTGAATTGTTCACCTGCAAGATTTTCATGTTTAGTATAAAAATTTTATTATTTTCCTAAACTGAAAATGTATATCAAAACATACTTACCTCCACTGACAAAGTGGACAATCAACCTGAAGAAGCCCAAAAGGCAACATCTCAAGCTTGGATTGATGGCATCATACATGCCATACTCCACTCAAAGTCCAGAATTCATCCGGTCTGGATTTACGAACCAAGTGGGAAAGGAAAATTCCACTTACCCATGGTATTATGGGAGGATGTGGAACACTGTTCCACCAAAGGACTAAGATGGGACTGCATTGCATTCTGATGTATGAGGAGATAGTGGATCCCCTGCATGAACAACTTAAGACCTGACAGTGTTCATAAGAGGATCCAAGTACACCCCCACCGGATAGCTAAGCATGAAATCTGAACTGATTTTAGGAGTAGGCTCCTGCGTAGGTTGGTCCTGCTCCTACCAACATCTGGAAAAAAAACTTCCAGGGTCCCAGCTAGGAGGGTCTCCAACTTCACCCTCTTCTCCGAGAGTGGAAAAAACTCAACACTCTGAAGGTAAATCTTCTGTCTACCACCTCAGCGACTGAGAACTGGGTGTGGTAAGGACTCCCGAGCTCCACTAGTAGAAGTAAAGGGGGACATAAGTGTTGGGGAGCCCTGAGAAACAGGTCTCCGGAGACAGTGCAACAGGTGAATCACGTTCCCTAATTTTTAAAAGCAAACTGATCTCGACTTATTCAGCTCTAAGATCAGCAGGGACTGGCAAAATTCCATTTCGCTTTACTTTTGATAGTCCATGAGTAGTGGTCCATTGGATTTGTATTGTGAGATAATACTACCATCCAGAATTGCATCTAGATGGTCTTATGGAACACTTTATCTCAACAGAGCCTGTTGCAACCATGAACCAATATAAAGGTTGTAGAATTGAAAAAAAATACAAGCACACCTGACTGGGCAACACTTGCCACTGAGTGGGATTCAAAGGATATAAAGATAGACCATAGAAGTAAAAAAAACTGTTAATAAGGTAAGAATATTACACACCTCCTTGTTAAAACCTAGCAGAGATATTCAATACAGCCATGGGGGGTGGGGGGAGGCAAAAATCCCATAGAAGAGGAAACTGCCAGATCATGAAGATAATAAGTTAGGAAAGTGTTGGGAGAAGTCCACATACTGGCCCACAAAATATCCATGAGAGAACAGTTTAAATGAACAGACAATGACATTGATAGATGTCGAATCTGGTGATAAGTGATGTGGAGTATATTTTGATCTACAACAGATAACCCCAAATAGGCTATAGGAATCAACTCCCAAAGCCCAATGGTTAATGTAATGGATGATAAATCCAGGGACACTGAAGGATCCCACTAAATAAAAAGCCAGTGTATAAGGCCCCTATACAGTTCTGTACAAGCCACAGAACATCTAAGTGCTCTTACTAGACACAAAAGATCTGGGTATGATAAAAGATGAAAAATGCCTCGGAAAAGAAAAGGAAAAACGAATTTATTCCCTTCTCTGGCAGCAAGTGTTCAGTAAGAAGGATCTGTCTGGACAGAGTAAAAATATAAGGAAGGATAGAGAGTTTGTTGAAACAGGGGTGGCAAATAAATCAGAACAGCTGCATCTGGAAGCTAACAACAATAGAAATATACCTCGAGGGAAAGGTGATATAAAGAACATGAGGCCATAGGTTGGAAGAGATAAAGTAATAACACATGAAAAATAACTCTAAAGTCCCAATGAGGTAATTGAAATGTTTGTTTGGGATGAAGAATATGAAAGGATCATAAAACGAGAGAGCATAGGAGTCAAAACCCTTCGTATATGTAGAAGAGCAAATGGGAGCAGTGAAGGATGCTGTATACAATGTAAGGTAGAAGCCAAACCTTTCAAAAATCCTTGAAACTATGGAGACTGTTGGATGATGTGGGTTGAAGGCTCACCAAAGACACCACTGACAATATGTAGTTCATTTCCATCGATAGATTGCCATAGTAGGTTGATGGAGGATATAGTCAAATAAACAAAAACTGTAGAATTTAAAACCCATATGATCGGACAAAGAACTACATCACTTTCGTGCATGAAGCTAGAGTCGTTAAATGTCCAGATGTTGAATGTTGGACTGAGGTTGTCTCAACAAAGATAAATGAACAGGTAGTGGTAAACATTCCTGGAGCAACTGAAGAAGAAGAAACCATGTCTGAGCAGGTCAAAAAGATGCTGACAAGAAAACCCAACATGGGGTTAAATGAATCATAGACAAGAGTCTGGGTAAGAGATGAATAGCAAGAAAGGCATACAAATGGAATCCTGTCCAATCTTGACTGAAATCATGAAGAGATGGATTTCCACACGAGGAGGTGGTATCCAGACCCCGATATTTGTGTTGTTCCTGGCGAGCCACCACTTGAGATCTGCAAATTGTTTGAGCAAAGAGCCTATTTGATTCAAAGGATCGGCATGCATGTGCCACTGGCTGCAAAATGACCACTGAAGGGATCTCATATGGGCCTGATCCAATGGCATGAGGGATTCTAGGGAAGCCCATGTCCTCCAAACAGACAGAACAATACATTCAGTGAGAGAAGGTGACATAAACAAATGCCTGACAATCCCTTCCCTAGCATGAAGTCTGAGGGGATGAGGTTGAGCTTGACTCAAAGAGCATTGAAAAACACCCCAAGATGGACCATACATGGAGTTGGTGAGAGAATGGATTTTGCTTCAGAAAGAAGAATCTGTGGATGTAGTGTGGCAATGTGACAAGTTGGTGCCAAAAGAAGTCAATCTTCCAAATAGTAATGTGTGCACAGACCCAGAAAATGAAGATGCTGCTCAAAGGCCCGTACTACTCGGCAGAAAACAGACGGTACTGAAGCATGTCCAAACTGCAGAGCTTGGAACTGCTACATCCAGTCCTCATACAAAAAATATAGAAAGCAAAGAGAAGACTCTGCTATGGGGATGTGAAGGTAGGCATCTGTAACATTAAACTTGGTCATCCTGGTGTGAAGTGCCATTGAAGTTGAAGAAAAGATTCCATGGCGAAATGAGAAGGCTTTAGGAAGAGATTGAGTTGAGACAGATTGATGAGAAGATGCCAATCTCTAGTGTTCTTGGTCACCAGAAAAATACAAGAATAGAATCCTGGATGAACAGAATTGACTTTCTGAATGGGTAGACACCGATGCCACTGGGGTATCCCGACCTTCCGAAGATCCCCAAGAATACAGATGGAACCGATTCTGTAAATCAATAGGATGAGGTGTTGAAGGTGGGGACCGCATGACACGAATGATTGATCTTATAGAATTACCCGTTGGAGGAGAAGAGAGGCAAGCAGCGAATGATGATAAAGAAAACTGCAAACGTGCCATATAAAACTGGGCTTCAAAAGTTTCAGGGACTACAGCAAACTAGTAAAGCTGAAAGAGAGGCGCCTCCCAAAAATCACAATACAGTAGTAAGAGTTAAATGAATCTGCAAAAATAGAGATCTGGTAAAAGGGATAACAGGTTCTAACCTGGAACCCCATAGATCCAACAACAAATCCAACTGCTGAGTGTCCAAATATACTACAGCCAGATGATGATAAGCCATGGCATGTTGTTCTGATAAACAAGGAGAGCAAGGCATAACAATACTTTATCGTAATTGCATTGCAAAAATTCCCAGCATACACGGCAATATCAGGGGAACAAAGAAGAACAAGTAATCCTCCCCAAGATCTATCTGACAACAAGGCAGGGTAGACTCAAAAGCAAGAGGGTGAATTCCCAAAGCATCACAAACTCATGTAACTAACTGCAGAAAAGAGGTAGAAGGTGGCCAATCAGATGAGCTCTCAGGAGAGGCAGCTCTAGTGAAAGAAGGAGCAGAACACTGTCTAAATTCTCCCCAGTATATTCAGGTTCATGATGAAAAGCCAACTCTGAATCCCAGGGCCGCATGAAGGACTCCAACTCATCCCGAATCAGGTCACGGACAGTCTCCACTGACAGTGGACCCCCACCCCTGACTACCACCAGACAACAAAAGAGGAATAGACAAGGTCTGGTTAACCCCCAGGCAAGAAACTGTTACCATAATGAGAATTTTTTTTAGAATACAACAAAAAAAAACTAAACGAAATATACGGTAACGGTAAAAAAAAAAAACTACACCAGACTACAGTCAAAATGCTTCAAAAGAAAATGTGAGCCATAAAACATAACTACTAGTGCTTTGTCGAGAAAAGTGATTATATACAGTACCTGCATAGAAGGCCTGCGTAAAATTTTGCAAATTAGATATTGCCAAGGGCAGTCAAGTGGTGTATAAAGACTGGTGCAAATGAACATGATATTTAGATGACAAAGATGAAGATCGAGAAATAGCTAAAAGTGTAAACAGAGGTATGTATATTTTGGAAATCTTAATTCATGGCTTTCTTTGTAAAGTTATATCATTCTCCCAATTGCTTTTGAGTTTTTCTGCATCACTTTCATAGCTTACTAACACCAAACTTTCTTCAACTAGGTAAGGTAAATATACGAACACACTTGTTGCTTAGTTATAAACTAGCACATTAACTATTAAAGTTAAAATGTTATGTGTCCCATCTCAACCATCAAACTATGATGTAAGGCACTATGAAACCATTTATATTAAAACCATGTGAACCACAATGCAGTTTGACATGAGCTGTTTTTGAAAAAATGGTTACTTTAAATGTTTATATAAGACTTTTCCTATCTAAGCATTTTTTTAGATATAAAATTAAGTACCTCCAAGCAAATTATTGGCTATAATGAAAACAAATGCACTCATAAGCTAATTATTTTAGTTAAATATTAGATTAATCATAATGTCCAAAATGTGCCTCACAAACTACAGAGATTTAAAAACTTCCTGCAGTGAAGGACATAAATAGAAATATCATGGTTTGTGGGTGTTTTGTTATAAGCAGACGAAGGGACAAGAAAAAATAGTAGGTACTTAACAAAGAGAACTAACACAGATTTTGAGAAAGATATGCTATCCAATATGGTGTTATACACTAAGATTTCATCTTGCAATAGGATAGTGATCCTAGAAATACTTCTATATTTAAGTTTCACGAAGAGAAGGAAAACAAGAGGTTTTCCAAAAGATGATTTGGTCAAAAATGCCATCAGAATTACAACTTATTGAAACAGTGAAATTAAAAATTAACAAACTGATGAAGTCTATGATGATGCTGTGTGACACAAACTGAAGCAATATACTAATATAGGCCTGGAATGCCCTAACACCTGAATATTTTGTTAAACTGGTTGACAAGGTGTTACAAGAAAGCAACAGTGGCTATTTTGGTCAATCTAATGCTTCGGGTGAAAACAATTCTAATTGCATTTGTATAACTATTATACAATTTATTCTTTATTGCAAAAAGTGTTTATGTTAATAATATTTGCAAAAATGTGTCTGTTCCCAAACTTTGAAAGTGGTGTGCTTATAAATATATATTTAAAATACTGTTATCATGTGAAATTCTACATAGAGAATACAGGATAAATTAATTAATGAACTCACCTTTGTCTTTTTATTTCTGAAGGGTGTAGAGTCAAATAAATCTTCTTCATATCCTTCATTTGCCTGAGTGAGAAGATTATGAATTTGTCGTTTTCTCTTCATTGTTCCCTTACCACCAGTGACTGCAGTTTTATAAGAGAGGTCCAATGTAAGAGCTTTAATCACAAAAATCCAACAGAAAACTCATAAAAAGTAATATGAATAACCTCCACAAGAAAAGCAGTAACAAACCATTGATTAACTCTATCACATCCACATGGGCGCATCCTCTTTTGTGGGCAAAATTACTCCGCTGAATTACAAAGTTATAGAATTTGAGCTTGTAGTCATTGTACCACATATGGTAAAAAACAAAAAACTTGAGATGAAATTTATTCAATAAAAATGTTTTACTTAATTAATTTTACAAATATAGATTTTTTTAAATAGTCACAAATGTTGATTCTGGGTGATTTCAAAGAAATCCGAGAAAAACATTTAGTGAATTTCCTAGAAAGATGGCACTCATAACACCCTAAGAGAAAATATGAAACAGATGTTAACAAAATTTAATCTTGAAACTTCAAAACAAGTAGTTGTGCTGATTTTAATCAATCATTCTTTCTAAACCTTGGTTATTATGGTTCAATTTCCTAAATCTCAGCTTTGAGAAGTCATGGACTAGTTATCTTAAAATGTAATGAAAGATAATTTTTCTTTTCTTTTCAACTGTTTAAGCCAATATGTCTTATAGTTCAATGAAGATTCCTGCAGGGGTCTGAACAAAGTAATAAAAACCTAGCTTGGTGATATGTTGCCTAATGCACTAGCCTTTTTTATACCCCTTAGTTCCCTCTGCTCATTTAGTATGCCTAGTGCATGCAACAACACTCCACCAATAGGAGCACGACACATAAACTCCCTGAGCAGCTGTATTACATCTGTGTCCCCCACGTTTGAGGTAAGTATCTATCGGAAATCTATTTTCAGTGTAGGAAAAATGATAATATCCGATATGATACATACTTCATCTCACATATAAAGCTAGAATCCCACATTGAGTAGGTGGAGGGTCAGGTGTAACAGAAAGAATAATAGACTCCCTAGGGAAAGCATCCCTAAAGAATCTAACAAATGTGCATAGTCATTGTATGAAAGCACACTAAAAGGGAACCACACCACTTCTGGAACAGGTATGCCTTTCATCAGTGAAGAAGTGAAGTGTTGTGAAATGGGCATTATCAAGGACCTAACCAATAATGGAAAAGCCTCAGATGACCTGAGAGAAAGACTCACCCCAATCCCAACTGTACAGACAAGGTTCCACATCCCATCCTCTGTATAACAAAGTGGAGGACAGTGCCGAGGAATCAATAGAAGAAAAATATGGTAACGTGGCCAGGACGAGTGGACTGTGAACAATATATATATGTATATATATATATACAGGAACCCCAACCGCAAGTTAACAGAGTGACATACTGCAAGCAGCTAGAATTACAATGATGGAAGTCAGCAAACAGCAATAACTGGACAAACGTCCACATGAACCATGGGAGACAAGAAATATGCCAAACTGAACTTGGAATCATGGGGCAGTTTTTGATACTCAATTCAACCATAAAAACAGGGATGCATCCTGTAGCCAGTATTACAAGCAGTCATAGAACAAGAACTACTCAAACGTGTTCTCGGAATTACGAGTAGAATGTGGAACATCTGCTCAACTGTAGGAACAGGGTAAATCATCCTGCAACTGGCATTACAACACAGACGAAGTCCCCCGAACCCAACTGAAGGAGGCAAGGAAATGATATCCTGTAGCCAGAATTACCGAGATGGGGGCATCTACCAATCTCAACCGTAGGAGTGGGGTGCTATCAACCTGAACTTGGTATTACGAGGAGAATCCAGCAGGAGGGAGAAGAAGAAGAGAGGGTTCACAGCTTTGCCCTCTTCTCAAGAGAGAGAAGAGAAATATTGTAGTATACTTATATCACATTCTCAAGGAAAACCTTCATGGTCAACCACTCCAGTGGCTAGGAACTGGAAAATGGTAAGTACTCTCATACTCTACATGAATAAAGGAGAATAAAAATGCAGTGGAGATTTCAGAGGAATAACACACCATATGTATAATGTAACATACATCACTAGATAAGCTGCTAGTGATCTTGCAAAACACCTCATCTCAACAGTGTGTGTTACATCATAAATGTAGCAGGTGTGGGTTTCAGTCTAGATATAGGAATATCTCAGCATACCTGACTAGGTAACACTTGCTACAAAGCAGACTCAAAATAAGAAACTTACAGAAAGAGAGGCCCCCGCAAAAAATGAAAAAGAATAACATAAAAGAATGCAGTCACCGAAATCATAACCAAACTGGAGCATGTAGAATTACCACTGGATGGAGACAGTATCCACCAGCAAAAGGTACAGCCAAATGGTGTAAGTAATGTGATACAAAAGTATGAGTAGTAGTACACATAGCGGACTGGACAATCTCCTCCAGAGGGTGATGAAAATGAGCAGCCAATGACAAAGTGACATGGCAAATTTTATGAGAGGAGACATGATAAAGATGATGACCTTTGCTGGAGAGGGAAGAGTAAGCCAACCAAATAAGCTGACAAACCCAAGTCATAGGAGCGATCACGAGAAACAGCAGGATTCCAGAAAATAAACGTGAATGGGAACCATAAAAAGGAGAAATACAAACAATATAGCAACAAAATGCTCGTACATGACACAGACGGTGATTAGAATCCGATTGGGAATAAAGATGCGAGATGAAACAGATAGATATAGGGGAGAAAGCAGATTCTTCTTCCTAAGCAGAAAATGTTTTAAGAAGGAAGGAACGGACTGGATAGAGGACAACACAGGTACTGTGATAAAGTGTACGGGAAATAGTCATGGCAAAAAGGTCAGTCCTACTTTGACACAATGCCAACAGAAGAAAATAGGTCTTAAGAGAAAGAAGATAGAGGGAACAGGATGACAAGGTGTAAAATGGAGGACATGATAAGGCATAAAGGACAATATGGAGACTCCAATCAGGGAAAGGAAAAATACAAGGGACAGGACCAGCATGAAAAAATCTGGTAAAATTAGGTAAAATGAAACATGTTGTACAAAAAACTCATTAATCCGAAACTGGTGAAAATGAAAGATTTTGATCAAAAAAGCTAAGAGAAAAACTGGGAAAGATGAGGCACAGTAGAATGTGAAGGACTGAATCCTTTTCTGATAGACCAACGACGAAAAGTAGACTGTGTTGGTAAACTGAAACAGTAGAGGAATGGACAGAACATGAAAGAAGAGAAGCAACATGCTGTGTCAGACCCATGTATTTGGCACGGGTCTGACAAAAGCCAAGCGTGAAGTCGAAGGATGGGTATGGTGGGATGAATGACATCCAAATGAGGTTGATAGAAGAACCAACAGAAAGACAGAAGAGGTGACATCTGCAAAGGTTTGAAAAGAGGGAACCAAGGTTGAGCTGGCCAATATGAAGCTACCATGAGTACTCAACATGGAGTGGATTCGATGAAGGAGAGAACAGTGGTGATGACACATATAGGTGGAAAAGCATAAATGTGAAAGCCCAACCAATTCTGGCTGAAGGCATCAATCAACACCCATTGCTTGTGGATGAGGAACTAGAGACCAAAATGATGGATGTTTGGTGTCAAGATGAGTTGCAAAAGCATCAATGTGGGGAGTATAAAGAATAGAACATAATCAATGAAAAACCTGGGGATCTAGGGACCACTCTGAAGGAAGGACTTTGGGTGGTTGAAATAACCAATCCACCACCAGATTAAAAGCCAGTAAGTGAATATTGTTCTCTTGAGCCCAAAACAGGAGTTTCAGTGTCCAAAAACACAGGGGTCTGAACTTGGTACCTCCCTGTCTGTTGATGTAGGAGACCACTGAAGAATTTTCAGAATGTATCCTAACCACACTCCCCTGCAGAAGATGGAAAAAAATGAGATGAGGGCCAAGGAACGGCTAAGAGCTCCAAAAGATTGACATGAAGGCCTAATTCCACAGAAGACCCAATCCTGGATAACTGTACATCTACAGATGCACCCCAACCCACAACAGAAGCATCCGTGAACACATGCTACTCTGGACGAAAATGAGAAAGAGGAACACTAACCGTAGTATTAGTTCTCTTCAACCACCATGTTAAATCCGTATGCAGGGAAACTGGAAGGTTGACCTGAAAATCTAAAGAATCCAAGAGAAAATTCAATTGCTTTCACATTTCCCACTGAATACAATGTATGTGAGTATGCCCGAGAGGAATGAGTGCTTCCAAAGAAACCCACATCCCCAAAAGAGATAGAACCTCTCAAGCAGGCAGAGAAGGAGAGGACAGAGCCTTGACTACCAATCTCTCCATATCCCGAATACAAAGGGAAGATGGCTGTGCTTGACTGTGATGAGAATTGAAAAATATACACAAATGAATGATATACTGAGTGGTGAAAAGAACTGATTTCTCCACCTCGATCAACCAACCTACCGTCGCCGTCTCCTGGAGGAGTAAATGAGTATGCACTACAGATGCCTCACAGGGAGGAGCCAGAAGAGGCCAGTTGTCCAAATAGTGATGAGTCCTGAGACCTAAAGAATGAAGATGGCAAGCAAAAGTTTGGACAATTCGACAAAAGAATGTAAGGTGCCATGGTAAGCCCGAAACCAGAAACATATCTCTCATGAACAAACCGAAGAAAAGACTGAAACCAAATAAAGGAACAGAAAAGATTTCATGGTGAAACAAGGGGGTAACAGAAATGGATAGAGATGGGACAGTCCTATAGCTGGTCTCCAATCTCCAATCATCTTGGGGACAGCAAATATTCAAGAATAAAACCTGGAGAAACTGGAACTACTAGTTGAATAGTGTATTTTAGCAGAAGCTCTGACACAGCCTCGGAAAGATGAATGCAAGAATTAAGATCATTTGAAGGAGGGAATGGAATAGGGGAAGATTAAAGGGGAAGGAGACCTGAAGTGAAGAGAAAAACTAGGGCTAAATCCTGGAGAGCCCACTGATCTGCAGAAAAAGTTCCCCAAACCTCCATGAAGGAGTGGAGCCTGGCCCCTACAGAATCTGAACCCGTAAGGTAGTCACCAATACTGTTGCTGGCACTCTTGACGTGTGTGGTTGACACAGTTATAAAAGCGATAATGACTAGACACAGGTAAAGGATGAGTTGTGGACTCAGAAGGACATGAAACAACTATAGGATCACGAGAAGAGGAGGTGGAAGGTGGGATAAACAATTTGGTTTGGTTTGAATTTCGTGCAAGGCTACACAAGGGCTATCTGCGCTAGCCATCCCTGATTTAGCAGTGTAAGACTAGAGGGAAGGCAGCTAGTCATCACCACCCACCGTCAACTCTTGGGATACTCTTTTACTAACAAGTAGTAGGATTGATCATCACATTATAATGTACTCACAGCTGAAAGAGTGAGCATGTTTGTCGAGTGCCCAGACCACCTGGCCATGCCGGGCCAGGGATAAACAATTCACCAAGAAAGAGAGAGAATTATGTAACCTGGTGATATCAACCCATGACTCCAAAGAATTGTGGCAATCTCAAAAATGGTATCACGCAAAAATGGAGCCACCCTTAAGTCCCAAATGGAAGAAGGGGAGGCAAACTCCTGTAAATAGCACATCTCATTCAAAAACAAATAGCCATGTGAGGATTAAAAAAGCAGACAAGGAAAGCATAGATAAAGTCAATCACAAAAGAGAACCCTGAGAAATCATCAGAAGAACAGCAAAAAGCCTCTGATAACAGGTGCATAGAACTAAGGTAATATAAAACACGAGTAAATGTGAGACAAATTCTCTAAAATTGGGCCTGAGACAAAGAGACAGAAGCCTCAGGATTAGAACCCTGTAGAAGTAAAAGAGGGCTCAAACATCGAGAATCCAAATAAGGACTGGGAGAATGATAAAAGGCCAAAGCATGTTGCTCAGAAACACGTGAAGGGCGAGGCATACCAGAACCCAAAAGAATTTGAGACAAAAATCTTTGAACAGAAACCTCTATATCTGGGGAAGGGATGGAAACCAAGTAATCTGAAGAAGAAAGCTCACTTAACCCATCTCCATGGGGACCCTTTACTGCGCTTGACACAAGGTTTTAGTGTCTTACATTCATAATTTTATTAAACTATTTTTTGTTTATGTTATACCAATAAGAATAGCATAAAAATCTCAGCTAATAATCCATATTTTAATTGTATACAAGTTTTAAGTTCTTAATTCTACAAAGCAATATTTTTAAAAAATCCTGAATTTCTCGTAGTGTGACACACGTGACATTTTCTCTAGGCATCTTGTCTCCTCTTATTTTATCCACCACCCCTTGGAAAAGTAAGAAATTACTCACTGTAAAATCGTCACTGCTTCGACAAACCATATTTTTTATAGTCTTCAATTTTGTTTTTGGTTACAGAGCTATCAAATAGAAAATCAAACCCTTCCTGCCACACCCACCTGTCACATCCTCTCTTTCAGGAGTTGTTAATAGATCTATCTTGTGTTTAATTATATATTATTAAGAGCTACTGAAGTAAATGATTGTAGTTTCATGTTACAATTTGAAGTTATTCTAGAAAGAAAAAAAGATAATTTGGATATATTTCGATTTTTTTTCTTTGGTTACAAGGTAGGTTGAATTGACTGATCCCGTTTTAAGATAGGGTAGAGAAAATAACAGATAAACTATAAAGTTTTACTGAAAAAAAAAGTTTGAAATGCATTTAGGAGGTTTTAGGGATTACACAAAGGAAATTTGAGATTTTTGAGATAAGGAAAAGTATTTTTGATTTTAACATGAAAATTACTTTGCACACGGACTATTCAAAACAAATACTCGAGATATTCATGAACAAATCTTTATTTATTTTTATTTTTTTTAAATGCACTGAAAACATATTTTTGTATGCGAAAGACTTATAAAATTAACTGAAAGACTGCAACAGTTTGTGAAGAT